GGAGACACGCAAAGGGAAAAATCATGTTTCTTTTTTTTACCGTCTTCTAGGTCTAGGGTCTTATTACATGTATATCAATTTACAATATAAAATTACACTTTATTACAATGCACACATCTGGACTGCAATGGATTTAAATTGTTTTTCTAAATAATGTAAACAAAAGTTGAGATGAGAACAAGTATGACATTTTGATAAGTCTACATTGTCATTGTATAAATAAAAAATATAAAAAACTAAACCGGAACGACTGGGGTCATTCCAATTATGCACAACTTAGACCGGTATGACAATAACAAAGGTTATCAACACGAGTCTGTTGAAGTTTAAAAAGAGCGAATAAAACAAATCACCAATTAATTTTGTTTTCCACAAACCGATTCGCAGTTTTCTCAGCTGTTTCAGCTGCCTATCAAGAAAACAACGATTGGTTGGTTAAAAAAAGAACAGTGTTTCGACCAATCGCTACTCGCCAGTCTCTAAAATTTGCATTCTATATCATTGCTATTTTTAGATCACTGAACCTAGTGACTGTGTTTACATCTCTGATGCCTTCAGGGCTTGGTGTTGTGGGTATATTTACTGGTGACTTATTCAGAGTACATGATTCATTCCAGTGGAGTTGTGGGTATCTCTGGATATGAAATATGGGTACTGTGAAATGAGAACATTGAAAAGTAATACAGAACAGTCCCCAGTTGATTTGTTGTGTGCCGTCTTCGTTTATGCATGTCGTTGACCAGCACACCAACATGGCGGAGTTTATAGAATCCGATCAGCTGAGCAAGGCGAAGGAAGTACATATCGTTTCCAGCAATTTGGAATCTCAGGGAAAACAAAAGTGCCCATGTTCGATGGCAGAAGTGGTCAGTTTATCAAAAATGTCGCTAGATGATGAATATAGAGTTGTTGATTCCGGAAAGCTGCCATGGACTCGTGATGATTCCAACGACAGCCTCGCTCCAACAACAACAGCTTCGTTAGGAACAATAAAGAAAAGAAACCGAGCAGAACGGTTAGATCAGTCCCAGTGCACTTCAAGCACTGATAGTTCCGGGTCGAGCACATACCTTGACGAAGGCGACTGCCGTTTGGCCTCTAAAAGTGATAATATTGATGATTTACCAGACAATCCTAAAGAATTTAACTTTTGTCAAGTTGAAATTATGGATACAAATAATACAAAATATGTTCCTACAACGTCAAACTCAGAGGGCCGGATTGCGACTCCTCTTCCTGTGCGCATTTTTAGCCTAGAGAGTCCAAACAAAGGGACTTCTAAAGAGTCAAAGTCTACTCCAAGCCACAGCGAGTCCGGCAGACACACCCGAGATCACCCGACACAAAAAGAGGGTCATGAGTACTTTTCCTTTAAAAGTGCCATGTTGTCTTATGGGCCTCCGTGGGATGAGGTTTCATTAAGTTCATCAGATTCAGAGGATGTTGGATGGAGACGAGAGGTGGAAGATGACCTAATGGTAGGGGATCGCATATTGTCTGGGGAGGGTTATGATGAAATCATGGGCAGTGTGTATAGCTTCCCCAGTTCTGGCGCGGTGGCGCAGTTTGATCAGGCCTATGACATGTTACTGAGCTTGATGATGGATGATGGAACCTTAGGTAATTTAGGGCCTGACTCTGCTGATCATGTGGAGGTGCCGGGGGCGTCTAACGAGGATGTGCGGAGAACGAGAGGCACTCAGCCTACTGCCCCTCTGTATCCCCACCACCCCACCAGATACATGGAATGTGAAATTTGTCTAAGCAAGTCCAATTTCTGGAGTAGATTTTGTTGTCATTTCAAAGTCTGTAATGAATGTGTAGATACATACATTACTCTGAAAGTTCAGGAAGCTGTGGTGCATATAGAATGTCCAAATGATAAGTGCAGGGGTTATATTCATCGAAATGAAATAAGAGATCGGCTCTCCGATGAATTGAAGCACAAATTTGATAAGTTTCTGGTGGATGCCAATAAAGATCCTTGTAAAAAGACTTGCCCAGCGTGTAGCAGCGTGCACACAATTGATCCGGATGCTTTGACTACCAAGAAGAAGCGGAAAAATGGACTGAAAGTGCAGTGTTCAGAATGCCATCTCCAGTGGTGCTTCCTCTGCCAAGCTCCTTTTCACACCGGTGTCACGTGTAAACAATATCGCAAAGGTGATGAGATGGTGCGCAAGTGGGCCAAGGAAGTCAAGCATGGAAAGTTCAATGCTCAGCGTTGTCCCAAATGTAAGGTAAGTACTTACCAGTAAGTGAATTCATTATTCGAAATCACGCATCCGTTGAACTGTGCCTGTGATCCCTTTTTTTTTCTTTATCTTTGTAAGATCCATAGAACTACGGATCCCTCGAACTATATAGGCTGGTCCCGACGAGTTTGAGCTTAGATCCGTGCTATCCTGTATCTGTTAACAGGACCGAGACAAATACAGTCAAACCTGTCCAAGACGTCCATCAATTGTCCTGGTGGAGAAAAGTGATCGCCTTAGAAGTTAGACAGCTGGTCCTCTCTGACTGTGCCATTAGAACTGTAAGCCTTCTACTAGAAAACACCTAATTGGAGAAGTGGGAAGTGGCTGTTTGTACAGGTGGTTGTCTTGAACAGGTGGTGACAGTCGTTATTATATCATGTATAAATCGTGGGTTCAACTCTAAGTTAATTAAGAGTGAAGTGAAATTGACAAATAAAATAATCAGTTTTTACTTCATTTTCAGTTTTCGGAGCATACACATTACATATATATTTTCACGTACTGTTCTTTGTTAATTAATTATAATGAAGTGAAATTTAGTCTTTAATAATTTAATAATTGTGTTCTACATCACTGACCTTGATTTAATTGTTCACCTGGAATTTTTAGTATAGTATTGTTGAAATGTGAATGGATTGTTTTATCATGACAGTTATAAGGATTTTACGCAACCTGTATTATTTGGTACATGACTTTAGTCTCAAAATAATTTTTAGTTTGATTAGTGTTAATACACATAATAAAATTGTTTGAGAGTTACAATATTGCAGTTTTTAAACTAGTAGTATATTTTATATAGAGTATATTTTAAAAATTATTTTTTCGTACATCTTTACACCTGGAGTCACGCTTCTTTAGTATTTCCACCAGCTTGTACAATTTCTGGCTGTGTAATAAACTCAGGCAAAATGAAGAACGCACGTAGGCTATAGTTTCCATGGTTTTGGTTCCGGACTTACTTTCATTTAAGTGTATTTTCTGCTCATTAATTTCAGACTTTCATCCAAAAAACGGATGGCTGCGACCACATGAAGTGCACCCAGTGCAGCACTGACTTCTGCTACCGCTGCGGAGATCGCTACATCCGCATCAAGTTCATCGGCAATCACTTCAGTCGCTTCTCCTTGTTTGGCTGCAAGTACCGGCTCATGCCCAAGAAGCCAGTGCTGAGAAGACTGATCAGGGGCACAAACTTTGGTCAGTTGTGTGCAGAGTTTTTCTTCTTCTTTTTCTTCTTCTTCTTCTTCTTCTTCTTCTTCTACTTCTTCTTCTTCTTCTTCTTCTTCTTCTTCTTCTTCTTCTTCTTCTTCTTCTCTTCCTCCTCCACCACTTCTTTTGCCTCCTGCCCTCTTTGGTTCTCCTCACCATAATCTCTTAATCCTAAGTTACTTGTCCTCCTTCGTCATGGTATTATTTACTTACTTATAATCAATAGTCCTCTTCAACTGTCTTTTTCATTCATAAATCATTCTACTCCTAACTCTCCTAAATTATTTATCCTCTTCCGCTGTCTATATAGTAATTATTTATTCTCTTACAGCTGTCTATATAGTATTATATAAATATATATAAATTATTTTTATCCTCGTCAGCTGTCTATAGATAGTATTATAAATTATTTATCCTCTTCAGCTGTCTATATAATTATAGTATTATAAATTATTTATCCTCTTAGGCTGTCTATATAATTATAGTATTATAAATACCCCACCCCCCACTTTGTTTCTCTCTCCTCATTGACCTAATTGTTGGGCAACACTTGTTACTGAAGCAAAAAACAATCTGGGAGCTGTAAAAACTTGTATTTTCTAAACTTTTAAATTAACATTTTTTTAAAACAAGCTGTGTACTTTACAAGGCACTGAACACGAATTTTCCTCACTTCACCCAGGTGGGAATGGGTACCCGGCCATAGACAGCGAAAGGTCTTGTTAGTATGTTAGGGTTTTAGCGCCTAGAAATGGCCGCTTGCACTGTATGCTTCCCGGGAAGTTGAGGTTGTTTCAGAATGCTCTCAGGTCTGCTGGGGTAATAGTATAAATTGTGAAGCACGTAGAGCTTGCTGTTGAGCGGGGATTTGCGCTATGCAAACTTATTATTATTAGCATTATCATTATTATTATTATTATTATTATTATTATTATTATCATTATTATTATCATTATTATTATTAATCATTATTGTAATTATTATTATCATCATCATTATTTTTATTATTATTATTATTATTATTATTATCACTATTATGATTATTATTATTATCATCATCATCATTATTATTATCATCATTTTTATTATTATTATTATCATTATACGCTTTGTCTGCTTTCTCCCCCCTGCAGCTGCCCGTATGGTCGCCGGGGTGGTGCTGGCCGGGCTCGGGTTAGCGGCCGGCATTGGGCTGTTGGGGGCCAGCGTGTTCATTCTGCCGGGCTACGGGATCTTTCGACTGCATCGCCACCGCAAGATCGCCAAGAAGAGGAAGCACGTGGAGCGAAGGATGCACTACATGATCCTGGAGATGGAGAGGGAGAGGGCACTGAAGGAAGGAGGTGAGACTCGCGTGTGTGTGTGTGTGTGTGCTTGTGTGGGTGGGTGTGGGTGAGTGTGTGTGTCTGGATACTTTGAGTTTGCGCTCTGCTGTGGTTTGCGCCTTCTTTCCTATCAAACATCTATCGTCCTTTTCTCTCCTCCTTCTTTTTTGTGTATGTTACACTCTTGTAACGCATCTATTCGTCTGCACTTATATGACCTCATTGTGTTGCAAGTGCCATAAAACTCTTAAGGAAAAAACTAAAGGAGTTGGTGCTTTGTGTCAGTCTGCACTCTCTTGTAACACCTCTAATCTTCGGCACTTACGTGACCTAATTGTGTTACAAGTGCCATGAAACAAGTGCCATAAAACGCTAACTAAAAAACCCGCAAACATTTATTGTGTCAGTGTGAATGTGCCGTGAGAATGTCCTGAGAAAAAAATTATGTTTTTGAACACGCTGATGTTGTGTGTGTTGTTGTGTGACAGGGGTGGTATGATGTTCGTGTCAGTGTGTGTTATCATCTCTTTCTCTCGTAGGTATCAGAAAGTGAACCGGGCTTGGACCGAAAAAAAAAAACATTTGAAATTATCTCAGTTTCTTTAGTTTTACCTTTATGAAAGCACAGTGAAAAAAATGTTCAAATCATCTTTCATTTGTTTTACCTGGTGTTGTATTGAAAAATGAATTCCACTCAATGGACAGAAAAAGAAAAAAGAAATCTTGAAATCTTGAAAGTTCTTTTCCCGCTGGTAGTTTTTGAAAATCAACCAAACCAAAAAATACTGTAACGCTAACAGTACCGAAGGCTCAATATAATGAAAATCCTTCAAGTACTGCACCAGTTTAGAACGCTAAAGCCGTGGTACATTTCTTTTATAATATTAAAAAGCTTTCACAGCCCAAAAAACATGTTAAAAAAATTCTCCGTGTTTTTTTCGTCCACCATTCAACTACGGCATAGAGTGGCTTTCTTTGGTATTTCTTTCAGTGAAGTGGCTCTGTTCTTTGTTTAGATACGTTTAGTGTGTCTGGTGGAGTTGGAGATTAAAGTTGCCGGCGGTAATGAGCACATACTACTGGCCTGGCAACAAAAGTTGCAGGCGGTAATGAGCACATACTACTGGCCTGGCAACAAAAGTTGCAGACGGTACTGAAAGTGTTAAAAAAAATTCAAATATATCACGCTGCGGTGGAATCATGCGCTCGTCAATTTTGGGGCATATGGAGTTTTTGGTATCATCTTAAAGCCTGTCCGTTTGCCTTGCTTTCAATTTAAAAAACACCCTATTATCTCGGATACAAATCGAGATATTTGCGATTAAAGGAGGTGGGAGTCACCTGGTTTCAGAGGTAAAATTAGCGAGAAAATGGCCTCCAAAGTTTTGTTATTTCCTAAGCTTGAGAGTTCATGGAAACTCATTATTTACATATTTTATGCTTTTGATAAACATTTTTCAGTACAATCCGCACGGAAATGTGTTCTATAATGGGCATGAAAGGTGTTGAGCCAAAAAAAAAAAATTCAATACAAATTCTGAAACCTGTTGAAAAATGCCAGTTTCTTCACTTTCATTATTTTGACGAGCGCCTGATCTCGCTACGCTGCCTCACAAATAAAAATCATCTCCAAACAGAAAAAGACTAAAAAATGTGAAATGGTCTGACTTTGTTTTCCCAGACGTGGCTCTCAACTCTCAGGGCAACACGTCGACGGGCAACGAGGAGTCCGAGGTGGAGAACCCCGACCCCCAGCAGGTGCAGGTCATCGTCCACCGAGCCGTGTCGGTCACAGAGGAAGCCGGCGAGGAGCCATCTGGCGACTGTGAGCTCTACGCCAACCGCTTCACGGCTGAGGGTACGGAGGTGATGGTAGAACCCTCAGCGGGGGAGGGAGGAGAGGAGGAGGGGGAGGAGAATTTTTTGTACGTGGCGGACATAAAGGAGGTGTCGAACAAGGGAGGCTACTCCACGGTGGTGGCCAACATTGTGTCGAAAGTGGGTCAGGTGGTGGAGGACGCCTGTGCTCGGAGTAAGATGGCGGACGTGGAAAAGACGAAGGTGCCCGGGGGGGATGCTCAAGTTGTCGGGAAAGGTGAGGAGAGGGACGGGAAAGGTGAGGAGAGGGACGGGAAAGACGGGAAGTCGGGGAAACTGGAGGAGGAGGAGGAGAAAGTCGAGTCGTCTTCAGGGCAGACGGAGTCTACAGGGCTGTCGTCACAGACAGACACACAAGTTGGAGTGGAGATGTCTCAAGGCATGACGGACTGCGACAAGGTCAGCCACTGTGACAAGGTCAGCCGTAGGGACAGCTCCGTGCCTTCAGAAGAGACCCAACCCTCGGCCAATAGCAAGAACCTGGACGTGACGATAATTGTTCAAGATGACGTGAACAAAGGAAACACAGACGACAGCAAATCCAGTAAACTCGACAGCCGTGGAAGCTCAATGGAAGCTCTGCACGGATGTTTCGGAAACATTTTTTCCAAACGCAGTCAGAACATGTTGACAGCAGAGGGCGACGCTGCTCCGAAAAGCTTCGAACCGGGATTGCAGACCAAGTTTCTCCACCGAAAATCTGCGACCTGGGAGAAAATACGCAACTCGAAGGTCGAGTCGGTTCTGAATTTCCCCCATTTTGAAAAGGTTGTGGATGGGAAGGCGGTGTTGGTTCACCGGTCTCCGTCTGCTGTTTCTGCCATGACGACCTCCAAGGATTTCAGCTCGCTGGCTCTCTCCGAGAAAGATTGTGGTTCCACTGATCACAGCCTCGACTCCATCAAAGGATGCCGGGGGGACGCGGGGTTGGATTGTCCCAAAGAAAATTCTGGGATTGTGGGTGCCGAGACGAATCCTTCTGTAGGTTGTGGAGAGGAGGAACGCGACACATCGGGTAAGACTACCGTACAGGAAGCGGATCACGCAGGGTATCTGAACGTGGACAAATTTCACATCTCACAGTACAGTGTAGTCACGCGTTTATAAGAACTTTTTTTGGGGGGGATTACGTTTTCCGTTAATGATTGTGAATGCCATGTACCCATGTGTAGTACATGTGTGTGTTGACGCACAGATTGTGAATGCCATGTACCCATGTGTAGTACATGTGTGTGTTGACGCACAGATTGTGAATGCCATGTACCCATGTGTAGTATACGTGTGTCTTGACACACAGATTACCCATGTGTAGTATATGTGTGTGTGTTGACACGCAGAATGTGAATGTCGTGTACCCATGTGTAGTATATGTGTGTTGTGATACCCACTCGACGCACACAGCTTCTATTGTCAGTGTAAGCTGAAGTGATAACGTCGGTGACTTGGCGCTCTGATATCCATCAGGATTAGATTTCTCAGGCTTGTCAAGCTGTGAATTTGGGGTTTTTTTTAAACTCGCCTCCCCCCCCCCCGTTTTGCCCATTTGATTTTCTGCTAAGGCTTTGTATTGGTGATTTCAGTTGTCGGTGAAATGCCAGTGTCACGTGTGTTGTCTCACATGCTTTTAAAGATGTGTTCCATACTAGACTAGTATACAGCCGGTTCATTTTTAAACGCACAAATGCGGGTGAATTCGAATGCCGTGCAGTGCTGTGCAGTGCGGATGACAAGATCAAAGAAAACATCACGGGCATGCGTTGTACACGTGGATCAGGTTGTGGATCTTTGACACGTGGATCAGTGGATCAGGTTGTGGATCTTTGACACGTGGATCAGTGGATCATGTTGTAGATCTTTGACACGTGGATCAGTGGATCAGGTTGTGGATCTTTGACACGTGGATCAGTGGATCAGGTTGTGGATCTTTGACAGGTGGATCAGTGGATCAGGTTGTAGATCTTTGACACGTGGATCAGTGGATCAGGTTGTGGATCTTTGACACGTGGATCAGTGGATCAGGTTGTGGATCTTTGACACGTGGATCAGTGGATCAGGTTGTGGATCTTTGACAGGTGGATCAGTGGATCAGGTTGTAGATCTTTGACACGTGGATCAGTGGATCAGGTTGTGGATCTTTGACACGTGGATCAGTGGATCAGGTTGTGGATCTTTGACAGGTGGATCAGTGGATCAGGTTGTAGATCTTTGACACGTGGATCAGTGGATCAGGTTGTGGATCTTTGACAGGTGGATCAGTGGATCAGGTTGTAGATCTTTGACACGTGGATCAGTGGATCAGGTTGTGGATCTTTGACACGTGGATCAGTGGATCAGGTTGTGGATCTTTGACAGGTGGATCAGTGGATCAGGTTGTAGATCTTTGACACGTGGATCAGTGGATCAGGTTATCTTTGACAGGATCAGGTGGTGTACCTTTCACTAGCACACACAGATGGGACAGTAGGGAGGAGATTCTGTCTGAATTCTGGTGAAAGTGATGAATGTACTGTACTAGTGTTCTGGTGAAAGTGATGAATGTACTGTACTAGTGTTCTGGTGAAAGTGATGAATGTACTGTATTAGTATTCTGGTGAAAGTGATGAATGTACTGTATTAGTATTCTGGTGAAAGTGATGAATGTACTGTATTAGTATTCTGGTGAAAGTGATGAATGTACTGTATTAGTATTCTGGTGAAAGTGATGAATGTACTGTATTAGTATTCTGGGATGCCTTTTTTTCCGTTATTTACGCTTTTTCCCCGTTATTTTGGGCATTGTCTGTTCTTATTGTTGAACTGATGCGATGTTGTTTTGTCGCATCTATTGCTTCGTCTCTTGCTAAGTCTAGTCTTGAAAAAAATTACAAAAGTCCAGCGGCTTCCCTGAGTATTGTACAATACCATAGATTGTTTTTTTCTTTGTATTGTAAACTTGACAAGTGCCCCCCGGGGCAGTGCCACTGACTGTAGTGTATCCCCCGGGGCAGTGCCACTGACTGAAGTGTCTTTAGGCCATTCCCAAAGGGGGGACATTTCTCGTTCAGGCATAGTAGAATTTACAATATAAGAGAGGGTGCGGTGCGGTGGCGGAGGTGTTAGTGCGCTCGTCTGCAAAGCGGAAAGCCTGGGTTCGAGCCTCGGTTCGGACACAGATTTTTTTGGCCCCCTCCTGCCCACCCAGCAGTAATGGGTACCTGACTTCGAGTTGGGGAAGTAAAGGCGGCGTGGAAAGGAACTGGCCACCCTTCCACAATATGCCGAAGGCCCAGGAAGTTGTCTCACTAACAAGGCAATCCCCAATATCCGGATCGGATGCGGGAACAACTTGACTTTTTTTTTTTAAACATAAGATGTTTTATTGTAGTATTTCGCAGCCCCCCCCCCCCCCCCCCCCCAATGAATTGTCTTTCATTGCCAATTTTATTCATGTGCCCCACAATCAGCATAGATTGATATTCTGCAATACAGAATGTATGTATGTTAGGGATCTTATTGTTCCCAATGTAATAGTTTCTCAAGTCTGTAACTAACTGTCAATTAGACAAGATGAGCCATTTATTGTCACCCTGAGTATGTTCCAAACTTTTGAATATTTGTCTCGAATTTGTGGAATCAGGCGCTTGTCAATTTTGGGGACATATATATATATATATATATATATATACTTTTCAAGCAGATATCACTGGAAAGCAAATTAATGCCTTCAGTCACCGAGGATGCGCCTCTTCAAATGATTTACCATTGGACTATCTTTTTATATATATATATATATATATGGAGTTATTCATTGATATTATTAGAACTTAAATCTTGTTTGTTTGTCTTGTTTTTGTTGAAAAAAATACACATGGTGTCAGAGGTCAAACAAAAAATGGCCCCCCAAGTTTTGGTGGCTTATGAAGCTTGAGTGTCTTTGAAAGCTGCAAATTTGCTTTTTTTTTTGGGGGGGGGGCTTGTTTTTTGTTATTGTTTTTTTTTTTGTGTGCCTTTGATACATTTTTCCTTAAAATCACACTGAAATGTATTTTTAAACGGATGTAAAAGGTGTTGAGCCAAAAAGAAAGAATGTACAGAAGTGGCCCAACGGATGGGAAAATGTCGGTTTGTTCAATTCATTATCAGGTGGAGGCCTACGAGTCTTATAGAGTAGAGAGTCAGGAGCCCAGAGGAGCGGGCAAAGAGGGTTGGGGGGAGTGGGGAGGAAACAGAAAGTGGAGACGAAAGCAGACGACAGAACGCGATTAGAGAGGAGGAAAGGTGCAAAGAGAACATTTTATAGAGAAGTAAATTTTCCCGTCGCTGTCGGGTTTCGAACCGGGGACCTATTGAATGAGAGGCAAACACCGTAACCTCTGGACTGCGAGAGCCCCCACGGACGGCTTCAGTGTCGCTGGCCGTGGCACACACTATGTACCAGGGTCCAAGGGTTTTCTAGTTTAGTCTTAGCAGAGGTTTTACGGCGCTCGCATCTGCATAAGGTCATATGAGGGCCAGGAGATTAGAGGTGTTACAAGAGAGTAACAAACATAAAAAAGAAGAAGGGGAGATAAGGATTATAGATGTTCGATGGGAAAGGAGCAAACCACACCAGAGCACCCGCCAACCACCCACCAAGGTTTTTTGCTTCGTGGAAAAGTCTTCTGACATAGAGAAATACACACTTTGTAACGGCACTTGCATGACCTTATTATCGTGTTGCAAATGCCGTAAAACTCTTACTAAAACTTTTTTTAAAACTAAAGAATTTGTGTGGGTGGTTGGCGGGAGCTCTGGTGTGGTTTGCTTCTTCTTTCCTATCTAACATCTATCGTCCTTATCTCCCCTTTTTCTTTTTTTATGTTTGTTACTCTCTTGTAACAGCTCTAATCTTCTGGCGCTCATATGACCTTATGCAGTTGCGAGCGCTGTAAAACCTCTACTAAAGCTTATAGAATTTGTATAACTCGGAACACAACGCACAAAAGTGAGTTGTTTTGTTGTACTGAAATTGCCTCTTGTGTTGTTGCTTTTCAATAGTTCCATGTGACACGTCTGTCTATAGCTCTCCACGTAGTTTTACTAGACCGGGTACTGTTGCGCTGCACATTTTGTCCTTTCAGTATGAGGTGCCGTATTTGTTTTAGAATTCGGGTCACTTTTAAGTATGAGATGTCATATTGTATGACATTTTTTAAATTAGTTTTGTTTGAGAATTTTGTGTCAGTTTTGTATGAATTGTCATATTGTGTGAGATTTTATGTCAGTTTTGTGTGAGATATTACAGTGTGAGATTTTATGTCAGTTTTGTGTGAGATATTACAGTGTGAGATTTTATGTCAGTTTTGTGTGAGATATCACAGTGTGAGATTTTGTCAGTTTTGCATGAAATATCATAGTGTGAGATTTTATGTCAGTTTTGTGTGAGATATCACAGTGTGAGATTTTATGTCAGTTTTGCATGAAATATCATAGTGTGAGATTTTATGTCAGTCTTGTGTGAGATATCACAGTGTGAGATTTTATGTCAGTTTTGCATGAAATATCATAGTGTGAGATTTTATGTCAGTTTTGTGTGAGATATCACAGTGTGAGATTTTATGTCAGTTTTGCATGAAATATCATAGTGTGAGATTTTATGTCAGTCTTGTGTGAGATATCACAGTGTGAGATTTTATGTCAGTTTTGCATGAAATATCATAGTGTGAGATTTTATGTCAGTTTTGTGTGAGATATCACAGTGTGAGATTTTATGTCAGTTTTGTGTGAGATATCACAGTATGAGATTTTATGTCAGTTTTGTATGAGACTTCGTGTCGGTCAGGAATGAGATGTCATTGTGTATGACAATAATGTCAGTTTGATGTAACATTTCTGTCACATATGTACCGGTATGACATCGGAGTTTTGCCGGGGATTTCTGTCAGTTTAGAAGACACTCGGATGCACAAAAAAAGCCCCACAAACAAAAACAAGATTACACTCAGGATAATCATGTAAAAGAACTCAGTAAGTGTACGGCTCTGTGATGCCAGTACATGTGTACGGCTCTGTGTAGCCAGTACGTCTATGGCTCAGTGTTGCCAGTACGTGTGTACGGCTCTGTGTAGCCAGTAAGTGTATGGCTCTGTGTAGCCAGTAAGTGTGTGGCTCTGTGTAGCCATGTAGCCAGTAAGTGTACGGCTCTGTGTAGCCATGTAGCCAGCACATGTATGGCTCTGTGTAGCCATGTAGCCAGTACGTGTACGGCTCTGTGTAGCCATGTAGCCAGTACGTGTGTGGCTCTGTGTAGCCATGTAGCCAGTAAGTGTATGGCTCTGTGTAGCCATGTAGCCAGCACATGTATGGCTCTGTGTAGCCATGTAGCCAGTACGTGTATGGCTCTGTGTAGCCATGTAGCCAGTACGTGTATGGCTCTGTGAAGCTGCTCTCTTTTTTACTGTTGTACAGCTTGCTGACTCTTTGTTCGTTGAGGGTGGGTAGTCGGCGGGTGCTCTGGTGTGGTTTGCTCCTTCTTTCCTATAAAAAATCTATCGTCCTTATCTCTCCTCCTCCTTTTTAGTTTTAGTGTGAGTTACTCTCTTGTTCCACCTGTAGGGGGTGGTTGGAGGTTGTCTGTGGTAAGTAAACTTGACACTTGTATGCTATTTATTTTCCTTTTTGGTGTCAAGTTTAAGTTGAACAGTTTAAGTTGAACAGTTTAAGTTGAACAGTTTAAGTTGAACAGTTTAAGTTGAACAGTTTAAGTTGAACAGTTTAAGTTGAACAGTTTACGGCAGAGCTTCATTGTTTTATGTTTTGTTTTTTGTAATTTTCTGTTGGTATTTTTTTATTTCCTGATTTTTACATTTGTGGTGGGGGATGGTAGTTTAAGAAGTTTTATGAAGTGAGGGGCTGAGATGTAAAACCTGCTACATCAATTTTAGCACTTTTGAGAAAGTCTGTTTTTTAAGATGCTGCTATACACTCAAAGCTGCTTAAAAAGAAGATTTGTTGGTGGCTTTTAGGAAGTATGTGTTGGGTTTTGGTCAAAAACACTTTTGTGCATCTGATAGCCGGTAACAATGTGCAGCTATAAGCAAATAATCTCGATTAGTTTCTTAAATGTCTCTTAGCTGGTTTTGCATCTCACCCCCCCCCACCCCCCAAATGTTTTTGTTCTGTGATGGTATGTCAGTGGTCTGGAAAGAAATCTTTTAAAATGAATTTGTTTTAGTAAGTGTTTTATGGCACTTGCAACACAGTAAGGTCATGTAAGTGCCAAAAATTTGAGGTGTTACAAGAGAGTAACAAACACAAAAAAGAAGGAGAAAATATAAGGACGATAGAATAGATGTTTGATTGATAGGAAAGAAGAAGCGAACCACTCCAGAGCACCCGCAAACCACCCACATCCATAATGAATGAAAGTGAAAGCGAAACTGATAACCCTTCAAGTAGTTCATTGATACTCTGATACTTGAAAACGATGAGTTACTATGTCAATGTTTCACGGCACGCTGGAATCAGGCGCTTCTCAGTTTTTGGGTATAAATTATGATATAATATGAAGTTATTATTGTCTTAAAGCTTTTTCATATGTCTTGCTTTTGATGAAAAAACCAGCCACCTATCTGGAATGGACGTTAAGACGTCGCAGACAGAAGGAGGCGGGGGTCGCCTGGTGTCAGATGAATAAATTAGTGAGAAAATAGGACGAGGGTCGCCTGGTGTCAGATGAATAAATTAGTGAGAAAATAGGGCAGGGGTCGCCTGGTGTCAGATGAATAAATTAGTGAGAAAATGGCCACCATAGTTTGGTGACTTCTGAAACTTGGGTATCCTTGGAAACAGCAAGTTTACATTTTTTGGTGTCTTTAATTAATTTAATCAAAGTTTTTCAGTAAAATCTACTTAGAAGTGTGTTTTTAAATGAACTTATCCTTAAACTTAAAAGATGTTGAGCCCCCCCCCCCAAAAAAAAACCAAGTCCAAATTCGATAAAAATTTGTGGGAAAATGCCAGTTTCTTCGATTTCATTATTTTGACGAGCGCCTTATTTCACCAAGATGCTTCACATATTATAGTTTACTACTGAAAGTAATACGTGTTATATATGTTGATATCTAGTTATACTTTACTGCAGTGAGTAATACGTATTCTATATGTTGATATCTAGTTCTATTCTGTACGACAGAACAGATAATTTGTTGCTACAGCATGTCAGTGAATGAGGTAGACGCTATTTTTGTGTGTCCAATTGCGAATCTTCTCTTGAGTGCTTGCGGGGAGTTGGCGGGTGCCCTGCTCCTTCTTTCCTGTCAAACATCTATCGTCTTTATCTTTCCTTTTTGCGTATGTTACTCTCTTATAACACTCAACACCTCGAATCTTATCTTCGGACGGTACTTGCATGACCTTATTGTGTTGCAAGTGCCGTAAAACTATTTCCGAAACTTAACTAAAAAGATCTATCGTCCTTATTTCTTTTTTTTTAGTTTGTATGTTACTCTTTTGTAATATTTCTATTCTTCAGCAAGTATATGAATGACCTAATTGTGTTACAAATGCTGCAAAACACTCCCTAAATTCTCAATGTCACCTGTTTTCCTGGCACTAAGCCTAAGTGAGTTATTGTGAAAATACTCTTCTCTTTATTGGAACGTACAAATGTAAAACGACAGTACCGACTGGGTGGTGGTATACTTGGAATCAGTGTACATGTGTACAAAAGAAGCTTTGTGCAATTTGCCGAGTCCAACAAATGCGCTAAGTTTTCTCATCAATGTGCTTGCTATTGTTCTACTACGTTGTTGCCTTACAACACTTTCACAACAAAAATTCTTTCTAGTAAAATTTTTGAAGATTTAAAAAAAATGTTTTTTTATCATAATTATCATTCATTTTGTTGCTTATTTAATTTTCTTTTTACTTTTTTAAAATTCGATTATGAAAAAAAAAAAAGATTGAATTTCTTTTTCCTTCACTTTTACCTCTTTGTATCAGATTTTAAGAGTTTTTGCTTGTCAATTGTGGCTGTGATGTTGTGGCCATACAGTTGTTTTACCATTGTTGACAGTCTCCGATGTGTGTGCGTGTGTGTGTGTGTGTATAAGTACTTCCTGTGTGTACCTTCTTTGAGTTCTTCCGAATTCGTGGCCTGTCAAGTGGTTGAGTGTTCCGTCATTTTCTCGTGCCCAGCTTGTGGATTTTCTACCAAACTTGACCTGGAACTTTACGTTTCACCATTGCTTTTATGATGTATCATGTATGTACATATCCATCCATCCATCCGTTTTACAGTGAATCTGGGCTGTTTTCCTTTCCGAATAAAGTGAAGAACTTGTTCTGAGAAGCTCTGAGAGTTCATCATGTCGCGACCTCAGCGATTTCTTGTGGTATCTCCATTTTTTTCAACAGTGAAATTGTGACTTCTTCTTAAGTCACACTCTTTTTTTTGTTATGAACTGTTTGCACCGACTGTTATTAAAAATGGAGACAGGACATGAAAGTACTGAGGTCGACATGAAAGCACTGAGGTCGACATGAAAGTACTGAGGTCGACATGAAAGTACTGAGGTCGACATGAAAGCACTGAGGTCGACATGAAAGTACTGAGGTCGACATGAAAGCACTGAGGTCGACATGAAAGCACTGAGGTCGACATGAAAGCACTGAGGTCGACATGAAAGCACTGAGGTCGACATGAAAGCACTGAGGTCGACATGTGTGTCCTTTTCATATTCTGATCTTCTGAAGTTACCTGACTTGCCTGGAATAAGAAAACACACTGTACTGTAAGACCTGCAGTGTTTTGTATATTCGGTTGTTTATTGTCAATCTTGGATTTTATCACATATACTTAGAATCATTTCGCCAGATAAAGCAAAAAAAACAAAAAAACCAAAAAAAACAATAAAAACCCAACCAAACAAAACCACAAACTGACAAATCCGTGCATTCTTTCTAAACTTCGGACACAAAAAAAGGAGGGGAAAAAAACCAGAAGGTTTTGCATCCAAATTAAGTTCATCATTTAAATAAATTATTTCACCACCTGCAAGCCACTTTATAATACAGCTCTGGTTCACAGTCTCTATGTCATCTCTCTATGTCAGTCCACACACACGTGTAGAACAAATAGGCACACGGAGTGACTCGTGTGTGTGCGCGCGTGTGTATGTGTGAACTAGGAGGAGGGATCTCCAAATAAACACCCCTCTCTGATAGGGTTGAGAGCCTCGGAAACTACACAAAACAACCCGCGTTTTTGAACGGCCAGTCTGGGATGCGAACCAGGGCCATCCGCTCTGTAGCACAGCAGGAAGAGATAAAGGGAAGACAACTCTGACTATGGCACACAACACGACGCAAATATCTCGCTACCCGACTCGCAACTTTGGATCAAACAACGCATACAGGACTTTGTAACGATATGGGCTATATAAGAAAAAAGGTCAACGTAGAAAAAGCTGAATTATAATAAATTCTATGATGTGTCACGACGCGGTGGAATCAGGCGCTCGTCAACTTTTTGGCTTGTGGAGTTATTGGTATCATCTTAAAACATGTTCAATTATAATAAATTGTCTTGGTATCGGTGAAAAAAATGCCCATCTATATTGAATAAAAATAGAAGTGAAGATATTTGCAATCGAAGGAGTTGGGGATCGTCTGGTTTCAGAGATAAAGTTAGCAAAGAAATGGCCGCCAAAGTTGGGTGACTTCCAAAGTGTAAGAATCCTTGGAAACAGCAAATTTACATTTTTTTGAGCCTTTAATCAATGTTTTTGAAAGGACATAAAAGGTTTTGAGCCTAAAAAAAAAAAAAAGAAAAGGAAGAAAAAAAATTTTTCAATGCCCATCTGCCAAAAAATGCCGATTTCTTTGATTTAATTATTTCGACGAGCGCCTGATTTCAGCACGATGCCTCACAATGATATACGGTATGTATATTTCTAATGCAACTGTACAAGTTTAACATTCTCTGTTGGTCTCAGCCCATTCTGAGACAAGATTCTCAGCCCATTCTGAGACAAGATATTTTAAAGCGATGCAGACAAAAAACTGACTGAAAGAAAAAAAAAAGTTAAATGAAAAAATCTCATTCACGATAATTTATAGCGAAAAAAAGGAAATTCAAATTTTTCAGATAGCCCATTTCGTTCCAAAGTCGTTGAGCTACACATGACAATCACTAGAGTTTTACCTTTACACACGCATCACAAAACCAAACAGACTTGATTAAGTTGAAAAGGGGTGTATAAAACGGAAACTTATCAAAACACTTCTACTACAGTCCTAGTCTTACTTACTCAAATGCAAAAGCACAAAACCTGTGGAAGATGGAAGAGAAGTAGTTTTGCCCTTACTACGTTACCATCTATACCCGACTTATCCACATCAGACACTGCAAAAAACATGTCCATCATACACTTCCAAGCAATAAAAACGAGGTTCACGCAAAACATGGCCATGTTTATCATCCAAGCATCATCAAAAATGAAAAATAATGTCAGAAAAACAAATGTAGGCCGTTTTACGCCGCCATCAACACAATTTAGACCAATTAGGAGGCGGGCTTCCTACCCTGCCTGAGAGGGGAAACGACATGCCAGCAGACAGACCCGAGATATTCCATTAAAATGTTCTCCCCGCTCAGGAATCGACCTCGGGATTTCCTGCATGTGACAGCAAACAAAGCAGGTAACCGCTACACGGCAGACGTCCGTATCAAACGTCAAAGTCCACACAAACGGGTCCAATTGCATAATAGGTCGCTTTTAAGCACAAGTGGGCTATCCGGGAAAAAAATGCCGCTTTGAGAAAATCGAAGGTAAAACTTTTGCCCCGTGGTCCCAGGAGAGTTTTCTCTATAACTATAACCAAACAAATATACACACCAATGAAACCAAATTTCTCCTACCTATAGGTCGGGCAACGCCCACTTTTGGTGTAGGTCAAGATTTCTGGAAACCCCCGAAATCTGGGTTAGCCGGCTTGTCATCTGGGTTAGCCTACATGTCCTTAAAAGCGACCAACTACAAAGAGTAATGGTGAAATACAATGATATTATATTATACTATGTTATAATATAGAGTATCTGTATTATTTGTGAAGTCACATTGGTATGAAATGTGTGGCATCGTGGTGAATATCGGCCATACAGAAAAATATAATATAATAAGTGTCATAGAGGAGGGCTGGGCCGCTCCTAGAGAAAAAAAACCCCTCTGAACTTCTCAAATTTCACAAGATCTTCTCTCACTCTCAACCCAAATTTCCCAAGATACTCTCAATACTCTCAACCCAATTTCAAAAATATCCCATTGGGGGCTCCAACCAGGGCCATCTGCAGAACAGCGCAGCATGATACACAGCATGATACACAGCATGATACACAGCATGATACACAGCATGATACAATGACACCGACAACATAGCAAACAGCACACCCTCAATTGCTCAGAACCCCCCCC